AGTGGCTGGCCTCCCTGATTGAAGAATGCATCGACAACTAGGTCGAGGGCCCTTAAAAGCGTGGTTGGCAAAGAGAGGTAACTCGTACGACCAAGGCGGGGAGTTCTTTACCCAGAGGCTTATTTACCGGAAGCTGAAGAATGCCTTCAGTGATTTTGGCTTATGACTTGCCCCATTTGCAGCCAGATGTGAGGAAGATGTTGCCCTCGGGCGAGGAGAGGCCGATGTTGTATGATTCCGAGCTAATGAGAGAATGCGACTTGAAAGACAATGAAGAAGATGACGCCACTTCAAAACAAGCTGAGGGTGGTAGGGAGATTGGGGGTCACCAAGATATCCAGCCGAATCCCGATTCCTTCAGTGAGCGTTGAGTTTGTGCTTTGTACCCCCCCCCCCCCCCCCCTCTTTTTGTTTTTTCTTAGATGTAACAGTAGATTTAGCCTCAGCTTGGGTCGCACCATGTAATTGAGTCTTAACATAAATGAAGTGTTCTATTTTTTGGATAAGTGTTGTGTTGACTAGCCTTCGGGCAATATTTCTTGTTAGGTCCCCTAGATTTTGATTATTAACGCAATAGTTTTGATGATGCCACCCTTTTTTTATACATGTATTAGACTAGTTTACTAGTTTTGTTCTAATTTGTTTATTTGTAATGTGCTCCATATTTAGTGGTAAAATACTCATAAAAAGCAAAGAGTACTAAAAGAGAAGTAAATGTACCATAAAACAAAAAGAAAAAGATAAAAAAGAAAAGGTACAAAAAGAGTTACCTGGTATTCATTGTTAAGGAATGAGCTAGCTGAAAATTACCAGAAATCGGCAGTCAGCTGATTTTCTAGGAGCCAGCTGAAAATTGGGTTTTCAGTAAACTCATCCGAAATCCAATTCTCTCTTCTCTCAGCATAAAAACATTTAGACAAAAGACCAACTTGCAGTCAAAATAACAATTTGATGAAAAGTAAATTAATAAGAGATTTTAATCATATTATAAAGAGATATTACCCGAAATAGGACTAAAAATGTTTGAAAATTCCAAAATAGGACTGCCATGATTTTAATTCCAAAATAGGACTAATTACTGTCATGTTTTGGCAGTACCAGACTTCAAGCATGGCAGTATTTTCCAAACTTGACAGTAATTACTCCTATTTTGGGAATAAAAAACATGTCAGTCCTATTTTTGAATTATCAAACTGTTTTAGTCCTATTTCGGGAATTTTCCAAACTTGACAGTAATTATTGTCATGTTTTGGCAGTACCAGACTTCAAACATGGCAGTATTTTCCAAACTTGACAGTAATTACTCCTATTTTGGGAATAAAAAACATGTCAGTCCTATTATAAATTTCTAATAAATTTATTTTACTAAAAGCAAGTGTTCGTTATTTTGTAAGGAATCATTGAAATATCATTCAGCTTTATACTAGCTTCTAAGCGTGAAAATAAAGATAGAATATCTTTTCTCTTGCATTGAAATGTGTAAACAAGTTGAGCTGAAGATTGTTGATCCGTGTCACTACGTGACAAAGACAAATCATGCTGCCTTAGTCAAGTGGAACAAAGCAAGTAGATCAAGCTACGGCCTATGGTCAAGATTCATTTCCTCAGCCAACAGTGGAGATGCAATGATCAAGTCTATAAATACAGGAGTGTGGGATTACCAAGTGTGGTAAAACGAGAGGAGTCAAGTGGATAGAAGGAAATCATACTCTACACGATGAAATCCTGCCAGCTGATTTCCCTTCTACACTTCGGCTGTCACCCCACTCGTCTAATGCACTTTCTTTATTTCTAGACTAATGTTAGACATTCTGGAGGGCTTTGTGATCAAATCCAGAAGGTGAGAAAGGGCAAGGACATGAGTAGCTCTTGGCAAGTCAATTCCATTAGTGAAAAACCTTGGAAGGACTGAGTAGCTTGGAACGATGTTTAAGTTCCTTGTGAAAAACCTCACAACCTACGCCTGGGCCAAGGGTAGGTTGGGGCACTAAATATAATGGGATATTCATTTAGTGGAAATCCATCTAAAATAGGTTGGGATTGGATGTATGAGGATTACACCACCTCTGAACCAGGATATATCTTGTGTCACCTTTTACATTCTGCTCCTAACATAAATTCAGTACTCACTCACCTTCATCACAACACAGCAAAACAGCTTGTTCACTAAAACTGTCCAGTGAACTTTCTCAGTTCACTGTGAGTCATCTCCTTGTTATCTGTTCTTCAAAGTGACCTATTTCCATTGGTCTAAATCCTTCATACTTATGTGTTAGACTAGTTCTAAAGCCAGCCAATAAGTTAGAGTATAGTTCATTGCTATACCTTAACTAAAATAAGGAGAAACATCATTTCGGCAGCCTACTCCTAAGGATTGGCAGTCAGCTCCCAAACTGACTGACAACCATCTCCTTCAGGATTTCGGCAGCCTGCTCCTTGAGTCAACTGTTTCTGGCAAACACATTTGTACCATGTTTAGTCCATCTCTCTCACAACTAAATAAAGGATCATAACCTTTGTTTATATATAGTGTAACCCTCATGAGGTCAAGACTTCTGTTGCATGTTTCAATATCTCCCAAAAGATGTTGAAACATATTCAGTTAGAGGAAAAGAGTTGAAAACCGAAAAGATTTACAAGTCTATTCACTCCCCCTCTCTAGACTTTTACTTCACTAGGAACTCAGTTGGTATCAAGGGCACTCATCATTTCCTTTGTTGTGAACGATGTTTCGGCCATGTATAGTTCCTTTAGTTTTTGGGTTGAGGCTATTTTGACCGCTACTTATATTATTAATCGCTTGCCTTCCACCAAATTCACTGGTTTTTCTCCAAATCAAAAATTATTTCACCAGACACTTGACTTCTCTTTTATGCGTGTGTTTGGATGTGCTTGTTATCCTAATTTTACTGCCACTTCAGTTAATAAACTCTCTCATCGCTCACTTCAGTGTGTTTTTCTAGGATATGCTTCTGAATATAAGGGGTATCGTTGTCTTGATCCTAGGACGGGTAGAATTTACATTAGTCGTCATGTCCGGTTTCAGGAAAATATTTTTCCTTATTCCCAGTTAGTGTCTTCTCGTTGTCCTGAGTCTCCCTCTTTGCAACCATGTCCTCTGTCATTTTTTCGTTCCTCCACACCGTCGCCCTCCGCTATTGCTCCATCACTGCCCCCGGAGGAATCTTACTCGGAAACGTGTGCCTCACCACCACCTATGGACTCCCCGCCGGCAACGGATTCATTCGGCCAACAACCTACTTCGCCGAAAACCTCCAGAACCGACACTCGGTCTGGCGGCGTGACAGCGGCTGCTACTGTCCCGGTCAGTTCGGCCGAGACGGGTTCCTCATTCCATACCGACGATGAGGTCGGTGATGTTCATGTCTCCGGTGCTCCATTAATTAAAAATATTCATCCCATGCAAACACGGTCTAAATCAGAAATTTTTAAACCCAAAACAATTTTTAATTTAAATATTGGTTCATGATCCGACTTGCTTTTCTATGGCTAATAAAGATCTTAAATGGAGAGCTGCAATGACTGAGGAATTTAATGCACTTATTGATAATAAAACATGTGAATTAATGCCATTTGACTCTAGCAAAAATGTGGTTGAGTCTAAATGGATTAATAAAACTAAATATGTTTCTGATGGGTCTATAGAACGTCACAAAGCATGTCTGGTTGCCCAAGGGTTTAAACAGCAAGTTGGGGTTGATTTTTGTGAAACCTTTAGTCCTGTTGTTAAACTTGGTACTGTTTGCATCGTTTTGACCTCAGCTATTTCATATAATTGGCTTATTCGTCAGTTGGACGTTAAAAATGCTTTTCTTCATGGTCATCTCACAGAAAAAGTTTATATGCGTCAACCACCCGGGTTTATTCATCCTCAATTTCCTAATCATATTTGTCTCTTGCGCAAGGCCATTTATGGTCTCAAACAGGCTCCCCGGGTGTGGTTTCATCGACTCAGTAGTTTTCTTTTGACTCATGGATTTGTGTGTAGTCATGCTGATAATACTTTGTTTATTTTTCGTAAGGCTACTCGAATCGCATTTATTTATTACTATATGTGGATGACATTATTATTATTGGAAATTCCTCGAATCTTATTAGTAATTTTATTTCTCTTTTAGGGAAATATTTTTCTATGAAAGATTTATGGGATATTCATTTTTTCTTGGGGGTTCAAATTGTGCGAGATTCTTCTGGTTTATTTTTATCTCAGGCTAAATATGTCTCAGTTCTTCTTACCCGCTTTCATCTTCACACTCTTAAGTTTGTTCGCACGCCATTACCTAGTAGAACTAAGATGTCTCTCACCGATGGTGAGTTACTTGCTAATGCTACAGAGTATCGTATCATGGTAGGTGCATTGCAGTATTTAACTATGACTAGACCTGATATTACATATGATGTTCACTTGGTGTCTTAATTTATGCATGCTCCTCGTACTTCACATATGTTGGCTGTTAAGCGAATTTTCAGGTATCTACAAGGCACGATCATGCATGGTTTACATCTCCAGCCTTCCACACATCCACATTCGATTCTGGCATATTCTGATGCTGATTGGGCTAGTTGTCCTGATAGTAGTCGTTCTACATCTGGTTATGCTGTTTTTCTTGGTCCTAAATTGATTTCCTGGCGGTCCAAGAAACAACCTACTGTCTCCAAATCATCTACTGAAGCTGAGTACCGAGCCATTGCATACACGGTTCAGGATACATTACACATTCGATCTATTTTGTTCGAGCTCGGCTTTCCTATTTATTGCCCTGTTCGTCTATTATGTGATAATGTATCTGCATCATATTTATCTGCAAATCTCATCCAACATGTCACGCCCCGGACCTATCCGGACACGTCAACAATCCGCCGTACAGTACGAATAGTCAACCGCAGTCCAACACATTCATACTATACAAGGCGTCTGGGATATCATTCACACATAGTGCATCCATAAACAACATAATGTAAAATATTCATTCAAGCAGCGGAAACATTTAATATAAGTGTTTATGCCACACTTTGGCAATCATGGGCATACAAGCCCCCAAACAAATATTTAAAAAATAGTATCCATGAGCATTGTTCAAAATGTTTTCAAAACAGGAACGGAAGAAGCACGAACCACGTCTCCCTCCTTTGATCTTCCCGAAGCGACGGGCGGTGGTAGCAACCTTCAAGTTCTACCTGAAACTGTGAGGTGGCCTCCCCCGTGAAGGGGAGGTCAGTACTTGGAAGCATTTGACAAGTACAATGACAACTATACTAAATATAATCAAAGTTTCAATTTCCAAGACCCTCAATCTAGGGTGTTATTGTATCGTGGTTAACTTTATTCGTTTAGTGTCAATTCATCATTTCTTATACGGTCTAGAGCCCAGCTCAATAATCACCGTTACCTACTACGGTCTAGAGCCCAGCTCAATAATCACCGTCATCTACATCGGTCTAGAGCCCAGCTCAATAATCACCGATAACTACTACGGTCTAGAGCCCAGCTCAATAATCACCGTTATCTACATCGGTCTAGAGCCCAGCTCAATAATCACCGATAACTATCACGGTCTAGAGCCCAGCTCAATAATCACCGTTATCTACATCGGTCTAGAGCCCAGCTCAATAATCACCGATTCTTTACAATTAAATTTCTTAGGATCCATTCATCCATTATTCAACTACAATCCCAACTAATATTTCAATACTAGTTGTTTACTCATTTCAATGTAATTCTTCATTCAATATGTAGTTTGACCTTAATATCAAAATATCACTTTTATTCTTTCATGGCTTCTTCTCATGAATTAAAAAGCATACTTATCACAAATGAAATTTATGGTTGATACTACTATCATGCCATCATATTCATAACATATAAACATACACAATTTATTCAATAAATTTGTATGTTATGCAAACTATACTTATAATCAATAGTAATTTCATTTAGCCATTAATAACCATTAATAATTCATGCAAATCACATTGTGTATTCATTTAGGAAATCTTATGAAATTAACCCAAAGATTATAAGCAATATAGTCGGTCATCCTCACCTTAAGTGAGCTTAAGCGTGTTCTACGCTCCGCGGTTGAACTTGGACTAATTCCGGTGAACTTTGACCAACTCCGGCCAACTTTGACCAACTCCGGCGAAACTCCGGCGAAGCTCAAAGATACTCTATACCAAGTTCCTAACAAGGTTTTAACATCATAAAACCTTAATCAATACCCATAACCCTTAAAAGGTTATTTTCCGGTGAACCGGTCGGTTTGGCTTTTAAGTCCGTTCTTGGACTTAGAATTACTCCCCAACCCATTATTCCACACTATTGGCATGTGGAACAACCTCAAGGGTTCTCCATATGATATACATCTCATATGGTAGAAGAAAAATTAAGAAAAAGTTATGATAAGGTCATTACCTTAATCCTATCACACTTTTAGCACTTTAGTTCCTTCCCTTGGGATTCTTTCTTGTGGAGCTTTCTTCAACAATGGAGAAAGGAGGATGATGAGCTCCTTGTCCTTGCTTGATGGGTGCTGGCCGCAGGAATGGGGGGAGAGATGAGTGAGGGGTGTGGTTTTGTCTCAATGAACAAATGAGTGTGGAGATGGGTCCAACTCATTTTGTTTGATGCCAAAGCTTTCATCTCAAAAATCCCCTCCCATCAACTCCTATCCTACCAGCCGGCCATCCACTCCATTTTCAAGACAAAATTCGTGGGTTGGCCCCCACCCATGTGGGAGGTCAACCCTTTTTGCCCAAAAGTGTACAATCAGTCCCGAAAGTTGTATTTTTTCGGACTGTTTTAAACATATTTTATTTTATCGGTTCAAATAAAATATTTTGTGTGTTCTCCATCATCATGACCCTTATAATGAATATTCATTCCCCAACTTAAATTTATAAGTCCCTGAAATTCAATTTCGGGCATTTATCGGTTAATTTGCCAATACCGGTATTTGGGCCTCTTTTGACCAATCGGTCAACTCTGGACCATTCCATGGCTCAATGAATTATCCACCACCATATAAACATTATCTAGACCAAAATGAATAGTTCATGTGGTCCCGGGAATATCAGGCGGCCCCCGCTCCCGGTGCGGGCCCCACGTGCGAATTTACTATTTGTGCAAAGGAATTAATAAAAATTCGGGACATCGTAAATTCGTTCACCATTTCAATAAGGTTAAAAATACAATATTCACTTAAAAGCAAATACATTTGGGGACGGTGTTACAAGTTCACCCCCCCTTATTTGGGATTTCGTCCCCGAAATCCATGTGTCTAATCGAAAAGAAACGGGTATTGCTCCCTCATTGAGACCTCAGTCTCCCAAGTTTCTTCTTCGACTCGATCACTCCTCCAAAGAACCTTTACCATAGGAATCTCCTTGTTCCTCAGTTTCTTCACCTGTTGACCCACAATCTGTACCGGTTCCACCGCATATTGTAGGTCTTCACGTATCTCCACCGGTGGCTTCTCAAGAATATGAGATGGATCTCTCACGTATTTCTTGAGCATCGATATATGAAACACGTCGTGTATCTTCTCAAGTTCTGGCGTCAACTTGAGACGGTATGCCACGGCCCCAATCCTTTCAAGGATTTCGAACGGACCAATGTATCGGGGGTTGAGTTTTCCCCTCGATATAAATCGGATGATACCCTTCCAAGGAGAAATCCTTAGGAAGACCTTATCACCGACCTCGAACTCCAATGGCCTGCGTCGTTTGTCGGCATAACTCTTCTGCCGATCTTGGGCAGCCTTGAGTCTATCCTGAATGACTTTCACCTTAGCTTTGGTGATTTCAACAAGTTCAATCCCTTCGAGCTTGGCCTCGCCAACCTCGTCCCAACACAACGGTGTTCTGCATTTCCTCCCATACAAGGCCTCGTATGGAGGCATACCAATACTCGCCTGATAACTGTTGTTATAGGCGAACTCGACTAGGGCCAAATGTTTGTCCCAACTTCCTTGGAACTCCAGAGCACATGCCCTAAGCATGTCTTCCAATATCTGTATCACCCTTTCAGATTGTCCATCCGTCTGTGGATGAAAAGCTGTGCTAAACTTCAATTTAGTACCCAAAGATGCTTGAAACTTGGGCCAAAATCGAGATGTGAACCGTGGATCCCTATCCGAGACAATGGATATCGGGACTCCATGTAGTCTCACAATCTCTTCCGTGTATAACTTTGCCAATCTTTCAAGAGGATATGTAATGTTGATAGGTAAAAAGTGTGCACTCTTAGTGAGCCTATCAACCACTACCCATACTGCATCGTAGTTGTTCACTGTTCGTGGTAGCCCCACCACGAAGTCCATGGTAACATGCTCCCACTTCCATTCTGGAATGGTCAGTGGCTGCAAAAGCCCCGCCGGGTGCTGATGCTCTGCCTTAACTTGTTGGCAAGTAAGGCATCGACTCACGTACTCTGCGATGTCTCTCTTCATACCCGACCACCAGTAACTTTCCTTCAAGTCTCGGTACATTTTAGTACCCCCTGGATGCATAGCATATGCCGAAGAATGAGCCTCCTCTAGTATGGACTTTTGGAGCTCCTCACTCTTTGGTATGCATACACGGTCTTTAAACAGTAAAAGACCGTCATCACGTACCCGAAAGTTCTCCACGGGCCCTTCAAGGATCCTCTCGCGGATCTTCTGGCATTCTTCATCAGTGGCCTGACATCTACTGATCTCACTCAGCAATGTAGGCCTAACCTCGAATCTAGCAATGAGGACCCCACTCGTGGACACCTCCACTTGTGCCCTCAAAGTTCGTAGACATGTGAGTAATGTCCCCGACGTACTTTTCCTGCTCAGTGCATCGGCCACTACATTGGCCTTTCCGGGATGATAGTCGATGATCAAGTCATAGTCCTTGATCAACTCCATCCATCTCCTTTGCCTTATATTCAACTCTTTCTGAGTGAATACATACTTGAGGCTCTTATGATCGGTGAAAATGTGACATGTCTCTCCATAGAGATAATGTCTCCAAATCTTTAGTGCAAACACTACCGCCCCCAACTCCAGATCATGGGTAGGGTAGTTCGCCTCGTGTTTCTTCAATTGCCTAGAAGCATAGGCAATCACCCGACCGTTCTGCATGAGTACACACCCAAGCCCTTGGATGCTAGCATCACTGTATATGTCATACCCTATCCCTTGTGTGGGTAGAGCGAGAACCGGTGCTTCTGTAAGCCGTTTCTTTAGTTCAAGAAAGCCTTTCTCACAATTGTCGTCCCATATGAACTTGGCCCCTTTCTTCGTGAGCTTTGTTAATGGAGACGCCAATACAGAGAATTTTTCAACAAACTTACGATAGTATCCCGCTAAGCCAAGGAAACTACGTATCTCTTTCACATTTTTGGGTCTACCCCAATTCATAATGGCTTCTATCTTGGCTTTATCCACCGAAATGCCCGAACTTGACACGACATGCCCGAGAAACCCAATCTCTGTGAGCCAAAACTCGCATTTAGAGAACTTGGCGAAGAGTTGTTTTTCCCTTAGCCGTTCAAGTACAAGACTCAAATGATCTTCATGCTCCTCTTCACTCTTGGAGTATATCAAAATGTCGTCAATGAATACTATCACAAATTGATCTAAGTATTCACTGAACACACGGTTCATCATGTCCATGAATGCCGCCGGTGCGTTGGTTAGACCAAACGACATCACCAAAAACTCGTAGTGACCATATCTAGTGCGAAATGCACTCTTAGGTATGTCACTCTCCTTTATCTTCAACTGATGATACCCCGACCTTAAATCAATCTTCGAGAATACTGTTGCCCCTCGAAGTTGATCAAACAAGTCATCAATCCTCGGTAAAGGATACCTGTTTTTGATCGTGACCTTGTTCAACTGTCGGTAGTCTATACACATTCTTAGTGTACCATCTTTCTTCTTCACGAAGAGTACGGGTGCTCCCCACGGTGAATGACTGGGTCTAATGAACCCGTTGTCCAATAGCTCCTGAAGTTGAACCTTCAATTCTTGAAGCTCGGCCGGTGCCATTCGATAAGGAGGAATCGAAATGGGTTTGGTTCCCGGCTCCACTTCAATCACAAATTCGATCTCTCTGTCGGGTGGAAGCCCCGGCAAGTCTTTGGGAAAGACATCCGGATATTTGCACACGACACGTACATCGTTGATGTCAACCTCCTTCTTTGCTTCATCCACCACATAAGCAAGGTATGCATGGCATCCCTTCTTCATCATCTTCCGTGCCCTCATCACGGATATTATACAACTATGAGATCCTCCCCGATCTCCCTCGAAACGTAGGGTGTTTCCCTCGGCACCCTCGAGTTCCAAAACCTTGGCATAACAATCCACCCGAGCATGATGTTTCTCGAGCCAATCCATCCCTAGAATTGCGTCGAATTCTAACATACTTAGAGGTACGAAGTCGCAAGTCAAAGGTTGACCCGTCACTTCCACCTCACACGAAGAATAGTAGTGTTTCCTCTCCACATCGTCTCCCAACGGTGTAGAGACCAACAAGGGTTGTGTCATTACTATCAACGGCACGTCTAAACTTTCGGCAAACGCTTCACTCACGAATGAACGTTGTGCCCCGGTATCAATGAGAATTCTTGCGTTTCTACCATTGATCTTTAATGTTCCTACATATATAAGTCATGTAAGACACACCACCCAACGTACCGGATCGAAACGGGGCTTAACAAAACATTTCGGGTGAAAATACACTGGACCGGCGCCGGTTCTAGGCAAGACCGGCGCCGGTTTTCCTTCGGAGTGGCCGGATACACATAAATTGAACTGGACCGGCGCCGGTTATAGCCAAAACCGGCGCCGGTTCACCTTCGGCAACATCGGAAAATTCAAAACCGGCCCCGGTTGCGAGCACGGTGATTTTCCGACCTCTTTTTCCCCTGGACCGGTGCCGGTTATGGCCACAACCGGCGCCGGTTTTGCTACGGCGTCTCCCGGAATTTGGTTTTCAATTCGCTTGAGTCACCCCGACCCTTGACCGGCGCCGGTTATGGCCCAAAACCGGCGCCGGTTTACCCACGGCAACCCCAAACGGGCGTTTTTAATTAGCACCGGCGCCGGTTTAAGCCTTGACCGGCGCCGGTTTACCCCTGGGCAGCCTATTTTTGAAACTTATTGCAAGAAACCGGCCGGTATCGGTCCCGGCAAGCCCGTACAAACCCGCTATCATTCTTAGCACCCAAAAACATGTAATTTATCAGTCAATACAAGGGTTTACCTGCAACGGAGTCGGGGTTAGCCCGAGCGTCGGCCTCGGTCATCGCATAGACCCGTGCTTGAGACCTCCCCTGATTTACGGACGGCGCGTTGCTCGTGCTCGCTCCCCCTTGCCCCGTACTAGCATGAGGTGCCCCAGTCCGGTTCCTACTTGCCGTAGTAGCGCCACTCGATCCCGCCCCTCGGTTCCCACCAAGTTGAGGGCAATTTGGTTTAATATGCCCCGTGTCTCCACATTGGTAGCACCGAGGAGGGTCACGGCACTTTCCCCCATGGTTCCTGTTACAGTTCCTGCACCTAATCATCATTGGGGCTTGCGAGCCCGAGTTTTGTCCACCCATGCCTGAGCTTCCCCTAGATGGCGGTGCCGGTGCCCTAAATGATCCTCCCCCCCCCATGGTTCCCCTTTTTGTTAGAACCCTGGGGGCCATGGCTTTCCCACTTTCTTTTCTTCGCCTCCTCGGCGTCTCTCTTCTTTCTCTCCTCCCATTGCTTTTCTCCCTTCAACCCTTGGGCGACCACTTGGCTGAAAGTCATGTTGGGCAATTGAGTCGCCCTATCACGTATCTCCAAGTCCAAGGCCTCCCAAAAGTGATTCACCATTCGGTTCTCATCACAAGCATACTCCGGTATGTGGTCGGCAAGGTCCCTGAACTTATGCTCAAGTTCTTTCACCGTCATGTTACCCCCTTGGGTCAAGAGCGTGTACTCCCTCACTTTGGCGTTTACCTCAAAGTCGGAGTAGTATTGGGCAAAGAATTCTTGCCGAAATTCCTCCCAAGTAACCGTCCCGCCATACTTACCCTTGGTTCCATCCCACCACTTGGATGCTAACCCTTCAAGTAACCTTACCGCGATTCTCAACTTGAAATCGGGGGTGAGTTGCATGTCAAGGGCTGCCTCGTTCAGCCTCTTGATCCACTGCGCGGCAACTGAGATGTCTCCCGTCCCATCGAACGGTTTACACCCCAAGTCTCTCGCCTCCTTGATGTATTTGGAGATCCTTATGGTTGGACCTCCATCACCACGGCTCCCATGCGCTTCTACATGGGTCCTCGAATCACAGTAGCTCCTCCCTCTTGGAGCCCCGCCCGAAGGTGGCCCTGCACGGCGCCTTCGGCGTTCTCTCCTTTCCTCACGCTCCCGATGATATTGTTGGAGCAGTGCTTCAATCCTAGCCAAGGAGCCATTTTCCTCCTCGTCACTAACATCGTCGTCATCCCCTTCATAAGGGGTCTCAACCGGCTCAGTTTCCGGCCGGTAGGTCGAGTCCTCATAAGACCAATAGGTCTCGCTTTCCGTATCGACGTGGCCATCGCTCACGGTTTGTTGTTGTCGGCCTCCGCGGCCTCTTCCTCCTGATCCCCTAGAGGACCCCCGGCTACCGCGCTCGGACCCACCCGGCACACGGCCCGTCGGGTTCCTCCTAGTGATCCTTCCAACTGGTTCCATTTCTGAAAGAAATTAGAATGAGTCATTAGACTCGTATCAATGTCAAATGACGGATAGGCACTTAAAGACATCATTTGGCTCAAATCACTGTCATACCAATTGTCAAGGGTACCATCTTAACAATTAGAGACTTTGCAACTCAAGTACCAAAAGTTCTTTAAGTACAAAACTTTTATGCTCATGGTTTTCAAATTTGTTTTCAAAAAAGAGGTTTTGAAGCTTCATTATGAAGTTTACGGAACCTGGCTCTGATACCAATTAAATTGTCACGCCCCGGACCTATCCGGACACGTCAACAATCCGCCGTACAGTACGAATAGTCAACCGCAGTCCAACACATTCATACTATACAAGGCGTCTGGGATATCATTCACACATAGTGCATCCATAAACAACATAATGTAAAATATTCATTCAAGCAGCGGAAACATTTAATATAAGTGTTTATGCCACACTTTGGCAATCATGGGCATACAAGCCCCCAAACAAATATTTAAAAAATAGTATCCATGAGCATTGTTCAAAATGTTTTCAAAACAGGAACGGAAGAAGCACGAACCACGTCTCCCTCCTTTGATCTTCCCGAAGCGACGGGCGGTGGTAGCAACCTTCAAGTTCTACCTGAAACTGTGAGGTGGCCTCCCCCGTGAAGGGGAGGTCAGTACTTGGAAGCATTTGACAAGTACAATGACAACTATACTAAATATAATCAAAGTTTCAATTTCCAAGACCCTCAATCTAGGGTGTTATTGTATCGTGGTTAACTTTATTCGTTTAGTGTCAATTCATCATTTCTTATACGGTCTAGAGCCCAGCTCAATAATCACCGTTACCTACTACGGTCTAGAGCCCAGCTCAATAATCACCGTCATCTACATCGGTCTAGAGCCCAGCTCAATAATCACCGATAACTACTACGGTCTAGAGCCCAGCTCAATAATCACCGTTATCTACATCGGTCTAGAGCCCAGCTCAATAATCACCGATAACTATCACGGTCTAGAGCCCAGCTCAATAATCACCGTTATCTACATCGGTCTAGAGCCCAGCTCAATAATCACCGATTCTTTACAATTAAATTTCTTAGGATCCATTCATCCATTATTCAACTACAATCCCAACTAATATTTCAATACTAGTTGTTTACTCATTTCAATGTAATTCTTCATTCAATATGTAGTTTGACCTTAATATCAAAATATCACTTTTATTC